ATTATGGAAATGTTTTTCTCTGATAAATAGTCCACAAGTACTTGGGGTGATATAAAAGAGGACGTCTTCAAGAAAGATGTCGATATCATTTATGGTTGGTGTACCCATTTAAAATAATAAGAAATTTGTTGCAGTCGTTTTGAGCTATGCGCGTATTACATTACATATATATCCATTGATGAAAACCCAAAGTCCTCTCCATATATATAAATATTTTTTCACCATCTTGTGCTCACCTATTGCTACTATCCAACACTTTCAGATAGATAGATAGATTCGTTTATTGTGTTTATAAAAACACATTTTAATCACAAGGGTTCGATTTAAATGCGATCATGATTATGCAGTAACAGTGACTGATCTGAGTGAAATGAATGAAGTTAAGTGAAAAAGAAAATGGAGCTAGAAAAGAAAGAAGAAACATTGTTTCATAGTTATACAAATTCCCATATTATTATGTACATACCTAACGCCTAATAACCGAGAGAGTACCAAAAACAATCCCTTATAGCTTAAAATTCATTCATTCATGATGAATGCTCGTAACTTTATAATATTCATCAAAGACTGCACAAGCTTTGTTAGATATACAATGTTATGGGTGCTGAGTAGAAGTTCTAGATCATCAATACTTCTGAATCCTGAGAAAAGTTTTGCCTTTTACCTGAATAGATAGGGCATTCAAACAGAATATGTTGCAGAGATTCAAGTATTTGTGGATGGCAAATTGAGTAAACTTCCATAGGGTCCATAATCTGAACGGAAATATACCCACTCACACCTTCTATCATACTCTCAGTATTTTCGCTTTTTTTATCGTTTTACGTATTAGAAATCCAAAGAATACAGCGATAGAAACGTTAAATCTCAAGCATATGAAATTCTCGTCGAAAAAATGCGGACTCTGGACGAAACTGCATATATAGAGAAACCGTGGTGAAGAAAATAAATTCCTTAAGAACGACATACAGAAATGAATTGAAGAAAGTTCTTGATTCTGAGAGATCCGGTGCCGGTGCAGACATTTGTGGTACTATGAATTAATGAGCTTCGTACAGGATCAAGTTCTCTGCGGTTTTCTGGGCTTTTTCTTTTTTGACACTTTTTTCAATATCAAACAAACACCAGCTAGTGCATATAATTCGTCTTCCTGATCCATCGACTTGACTTTTGGAGTTATTATTGCTATTATTCAGATTATCAGAATTTACTATGCTCGCACACTTGACAATGGTGCGAAATAGACTGAACGTGTGAATAGAATACAACGACTCAGTTCATTTGAGCAAATCAGCATGCACAAGTCAATTTGCGCAGATTGCATGAACGTGAAAACGGCCCTTAATGTCGGCTTCTAATTGTGAAAAAAGTTTGTCAAATCTGGCCATAGTTTCGGAGCCTATTCGATACAAACAAACAAATAGATTGACTAACAAACAAATCTTTTTCGTTTAGAATAGTAGTATAGATTCCATAGTAACGAGGCATCTCTCTCTATTGGAGTGTGCATCACTTTTACCACGCTTTGTCGATAAGACTGCTAATAAGATCGAAATTAATATCTTTCTATAGTATTTGTGACTCATAAATCAGATAAATGTTCAATTATATAGAAAAATTAATGCTTCACCACCCTCAAAGGGTCGCGAAACGTAAGATCAGCCATTATTCTCTGTCCACCTTTCAATGCGGCCAAATTATGACCCACTTCCGAAGCAACCATATCTCCTCGACAACCTTCCTTCCATTCCGAGACCAATAAAACAAAATATATTTGGCGTAGTACTCCCAAAAAAGCAGCCAATCCAAAAGATATTAAAAGCCAGCCATCGATTTAGCAATAACCGTTAGCAATTTGGCTTCGGGGCGTTTGAGAAAGTAGTCCATCCATTATTTTTAGTGGGCGGTGGAATAGGCGAAAAGCCGGAGAGAACAGAAAACTTGTGTAGATTGTACCAGATTTATTGAAATGAGCGGAACAGATGACGGCGATAATGGTAGGTGACTGGGTGTTTCATTAAAACTTTGTCGTGGACCGCAACTAATCATTTTCGGTGACAGGGACTATTTCCGTGTACCACGTGACCAGGGTCTATACCCTTCGGCTACGAAACGATTGGCTCTTTCTAGCGCTTTTAGAAAATTGGAGCGATAAATGAAATCGGATAATCGAGTTGAACAAGTTTACATTCTGAAATATCTTTTAAATGGGTAAATGAAATATATGCTGACCGATAGTTATAGTCACGGATCATAATACAGAAGTTCAGCTAGCTTTGAGAGAAATAAAATATGTCTTCCATGTCACTTCCCCATATGTCCTGATTGATTGATTGATTGATTAATAGCAGAAAGATCAGTCAGGGTTTGAAGCCCAAAACACTGCAGCCTTTGGGCCTATTGTATTCCTGATCATGCTGTTGACTTAGGTGAAGAGGTTCGCTACCTTGATGAGGTTTAGCAGCCTCTTCACCAAATCATTCTTTGAAAATGCCTCTTGAGAGTTTACTGCTCCCAGAAGGTTGTATCTCCAACGCGCTAGTGCTTCGCACTCAAATATTACATGGGTAGCAGTTTCCTCCTCCTCATTGCATAGTCTGCATATGGGTTCGTCTGTATAGATGCCCATTTGATGCATATGTTTCCTCAAGGGGCAGTGACCGGTTATTAGTCCCGTCACTTGTTTGATCTGACTTCTGTTTAGGCTCAGAATGTCGTTAGTCACTGTTTTGGACAGTGTTCCAACCATCAGTTTACTGTATCTTTGTCCTGGGACATTGTTCCAGTATGCCTTATGTCATTCTTGCATCCACCTTGCCAGCCAGCCGCGTATTGAGGTTTTGGGGATACCGAACACAGGTTCCGGTTCGGTCCCATATGTCCTTGTCTTCAGTGATTCAACGTAAAATGATAATAATTTTATGTTGGTAACACTGAAAATGAGAGGATATACGGAGATCATATCAACCTCAAAATAAAAAATGTTAAAATAGCCTTATTCTCCATTCATTCTCATTTTCATAGTTACCAGCATAACATTTTCATCACTGAAGACATACTTTTTCTCTCTCAACGCTATAGCTGAACTTGTCCATTGTGAAATGTTTCTTCTTGTGTAAGAATCCTTACGGAGCTTTTGATACTGTTAATGATAACATTTCACCTTATGAATTATATTCGATAGGTATTAGAAGAAGAATTCATGATTGGTTTAGAAATTATTAGACATGTCGAAGTGAATGATACTCGTTGCCTCTAGAAGGTGTTTTCGGAAACTCATCAATCAATCAAAACCACAAACGTTATACCTGACGAGTTGACGCATCTCTAAATCAGATAATGGAGATTGAAAAGAGATATCATAACACCGATCAAAATTTCGCCGAACATACACACAACTTCATTATTACATTGTTGTCGTGAAGTTATAAACTTCAGCGACTCTCGATTCATTTTACCCTCCAGTACTAACATGATTTTAATAACATTAGTACTAACATCGGTCTGTGGTACTGGATTTTAGTACTCTTTTCATAATCATTTCACACTATTCATGAAGGAAATGAACAATTAGGCTAAATCTTCTTCGGAGTTACCAAAGTTGTCTTTACCAGTGAAAAAGGGCTAAATACTTTGCGTTTTGGTTGAAAATATGGTTTCGATGTGCAATAATGCGTGTTCTAAGTTTGGTTCTGATTGAGACCTCTTTTCGAGATCTTCTACTGACTCTAGTTCCAACTCTTGATCCAGCTCGGAATCTTCTGAGCGCTCTTCAACATAATCTTCCTCACTGGAGTCTTGTAGGTCTGCCACCAGGAATGCTATTATATACTTTTCACTAAGGCAATTGCTCCGTAACTGAATGAAATTAAGAAAGCTAGCCGCCCAACCGAATCGAATTGCGCTGCGCAATAATATGGGGAGAATAGTGGGGGCTCAGTCTCTCAGACTGCATGTTAGTACTGAAGGGTTAAATTTCGTTCAAATTGGTAATGCGCATGCGATGTCATTTGCGACCCTGCTTTTGAGTATGGTTACGAAAAATCAGCCCGAGTCAGTGATCGAGTTAGCAAAACTCAAGTTTCCGAACAGAGGTAGATGACTCAGTTTAGGTAGATAGAACAGATTTCGAACAACAATAATTGAAAATACGTCGAAAGTGACATCGAAATTGATCTGAAAAACATCTCCATATGGATATGTATACAGGGTTCTTCATAATTACGGTACAAAACTTCGAATTCGTGAGGTTTCCATGAACATATGTCCGGAGTTGCTTCGTTGCTGAGATACAGGATGTTGAAACAAAGCTCCAGAACTGAATTGATTGAGTCAAATACAATTACTAACTCGAAATGAATGTAGCAAAGGTTGAAACAGAGCTTTTTCGATATTAATAAAAAAAATCAATTCCCCAAATAGAAACTAGATATGGAGGAGATACAAGTAACTGAAAAATATAATTTTCAGTTAGTTAATGAAAAAAAGAGAAAAACAACAAGAAAATCAAATCGGTTCAAGAAGATTAATGATATTTTATATGAATACCGTTTATCATAATTTCAACGCTCTGTATCTTAGAAACGAAGCAACGGACATAGGTTCATAGAAACTTTTTTCTCGAAACGACCTAACGAATCACCCTCTGGACTTCCGTATGAAAGTTAGGTAACACCCTGTATTTTCAAGAGACTAATTATTTTATATAATGCTTTCATTTTCTACAATATTTTCATTTACTACTACTCATTCGAGCATTCGAGGGATAAAATGATTCTAAGTATTGAAAGTTCATGTTTTCTTATTTCAATCAGTTGTGTGTTCCTCAATGCGATGGACACAATCAATTACATCTTCCCCTTGGAGATTATCTAGAATAACTTTATTATCTTTATAAATTAATAAAGAGTTAACATTTCTCATTACACCAGCAGGCGCTGATTTCACTGCTTCATGACATTTTTATGTTCTACATATTTATTCCATGGAGATACTCTTACTCTCTCTTTGGATTCTTTATAGATATCGAAGGTGAGTTCATTCGAATCAGGCTCTTTCTCTTTCATAGCCTCTTGAATTGCTTTTTCCACGATGACGCTTGATTCCTTGTCTATTTTCTTCAGTTCTTCTTCGGTTGCCACTTCTGTTTTCACTAATTTTTCTGTCAGCAACTTGATGCAATCACGACGCTCTCTGATGGCCTGAATTTCTTCCCTGGTACGGTAGGTCGTTCCTGGGTCTGACATTGAATGACCAAAATATCTAGAACGAAGATCTCAATGAAATAACATAGGTGTGACTCATACTTATTTCATATTGATTCTTCCAGCTCGACATTCCCCGGAATTAGATACATTGAGTTGCACTTTTACACATATTCGGAAAAAAATCAACTTCTGGTTATTTGGACATGACAGCAACTACCGACTCTCAATTAACATTCCTGTAAAGTGCATATCATCACATTTTTGGAGTCTTCGTAATTATACAGTGCGTTCATAAAGTGTGGAAACGCTACATTATCTTACGATATAATTATTTTCAGAGGTAAAGCTCGGACAGGTCGATTTTGTATTTCAGTCTTCCATCTTTTTTTACAAAAAAATAATTTTTTTCCCCACCACCTTACAAGATATGACGTCATCGATATTTTTTTTAAATTGAAAGGGTATATTTTTATATCAAAAATTGAAAGCCCATATTTTTCTGAGTTCAACCATACCACATACGTCATATCTTACACTTCAAGTAACAGTATACTGAGTATAAAAGAAACCAGTGTTCATATTTCTCAACATTCATTTAATTATTTATTTTGCAATGGAAACCTGAGAATTACTCAGCATTTGCTGTAGATTTGTTATTTGTTTATTTTCACTACTTCTTATGATATTTTCATTGCAAATAAATAATTAAATGAATGTTGAGAAATATGAACACTGGTTTCTTTTATACTCGGTATGCTGTAACTTGAAGTGTAAGATATGACGTATGTGGTATGGTTGAACTCAGAAGAATATGGGCTTTCAATTTTTGATATAAAAATATACCCTTTCAATTTAAAAAAAATATCGATGACGTCATATCTTGTAAGGTGGTGGTGGAAAAAATTATTTTTTTGTAAAAAAAGATGGAAGACTGAAATACAAATTCGACCTGTCCGAGCTTTACCTCTGAAAATAATTATATCGTGAGATAATGGAGCGTTTCCACACTTTATGAACGCACTGTATATCTGAATGCAATAATACCTCACAATAGATATATCGAATTCCTCAACAACCTTGATGAATCATTCTTAAATTGAACCGATGAGAACATACTTGCACCTTTTTCACTAATTAGATTGAATTATTGTTTATATTGATTATATACACAAAATAAGTTTGAATGAATGAAAACCCTATCGTTTATATTATCGAATGACGTCAATACCATCATGGTAACCATTTGAATAAATTGAGTTTCGAGTGAAGATACGTTTTGTTCTTATCCATTGGCACGTATTTTGAAATACAATGAAAATGCGATAGTATAGCATCATTTTGATGGATTTCAATAACTATGGGGAGCCTATAATGGCTTCCTAGATCAAAAATAAAATAGTTGCTTCAACAAATGACATATCAGCTATTAGCAGAGGTGGCATCATTGGATCCAGATACATGAGAAGATTTCGAAAATGTGATGGAGAACAGGGTGATTTATTCATGATATGTCATTCTCGAATACACCTGAGGTTGACATTTCTTTTCGAGTATACTAATGAGTAGTTTGGATCAGGAGCTGGTATTTATGGGGCCAAGCCAAAGACAAGAATCTCACTGAGCTTAGGTAAATACGCGACGGTGTTTCAGGCAGAGAAATTATTGCAATACATCATTGCGTGAAAGAATTGATAAGGCAAGAGTTTAAAGGCAAAACCATTGCAATCTATTCAGATAGCCAGGCGGCAATCAAAGCAGTCAACTCTATGCAAGTTGACTCAAAACTAGTATGGGACTGCTTAGAAACCCTAAATGCACTGGGCAGTCAGAACAGACTGACTCTAGCATGGGTACCAGCACATACAGGGTACGAGGGCAATGAAGAGGCAGACTCACTTGCCCGAGCAGGAGCAAACAAAGCTCTGAATGGCCCAGAACCCTTCTGTGGTATTGCGAAAGCTATACAAAAGACTAGTATCAAATCATGGATGCAAACCAAATCTCAAGAATGGTGGAACAAATCGCCAGGAATGAGACAGGCAAAAGAGTTTATTAAAAAACCATCGCCAACATTCACAGAATATCTACTAAGCCAGAAACGAAGTTCAACTAGAATACTAGTGGGACTTCTCACAGGGCATTGTAGGCTCAACAAACACATGAGTACGATAGGTCTGACTGAAGAACTGCTGTGCAGGTTCTGTCAGGAAGAGGAGGAAACAGCAGTACACATACTTTGCTACTGTGAGGGCTTGTCAAGACTAAGGTTCCTTACGCTGGGTGAGGAAAAACCAGAAGCCCAGAGATACACAGGGGATCTGAAAGCTAGCCTATGGAGTCTCATAGAGAAGACGGGGCTAGCCGAAGAACTCTAATCGATTTTGAGGGCAGACACAATAGATCTGAAAAGGTCGCGGTATGGAGGCAGATAGCCCGAAGGCCCCATTCTAAATCTAATCTAAATCTAATGAGTAGCTTCTGGAAGGAAGTGTTCAGGGGATATCAAGGAATCAGTGGGTGTAGCATCATCAACCAGGTGAATGACTCATCTCAGTATATGTTCTTTCATTTTTTTTTATTCATTGAAAATGTGACTTCCAGTCAGAATCAAGTTTTGGTATAAGGATAAGTATAGTTAACAATAATATCTTGAACTATACAATCATAATAAACTCATGAATAATATAATATTTGAATACATTAAGTATCACATTTTTACAAATCATTTCATATTGGTGAGCAACAATCAACTTGAATATGAATCAGAGTTTGAAAAAAAAATCATCTATTCCGTTCGGAAATGATGAAATCTTTTAAGTTGGTATTTGAACTCATTGGATTTCTGCAATTTTTTATATAATCTAGTCATTTGTTATATTCAAACAGAGCAGCGTGAATCTTTGTTGGTCTATGAAAGAATTAGCGATATCGAGATGAAATAAACCATGTTGTCTAGTTTGGTTATCATGAATAGCTATTAATGTATGAAGTAGCTTTCAGCTAAAAATGAAAAGACAAGATTGTGTGATGCAACATTCGCGAAGGTCTGATATGATCATCCCATAAATGAGTATTATTTATGAATTTACCAACCATAGATATGATGGGATTCATGGAAATGGTATTACCAGACATTGTTATATCAAGCACACATGCTATTCTGGAGAAAAGAAGAACCAAGTTCTGGTGGCGTTGAAATAACACGAATATTCAGAAATTTGAGGAATAGGTTATGATCTGATATACCGGGTGTCCCAGTATACCTGTTCCAATGATTTATCCCAGCCATTTCGAGAAATGAAAATTAGAAAATTTCATGATCTCCAATTCGTTCAAGGAAGCAAAAACTGAGAAGAACGAAAATTGAAAGTCACTTCCGGTCAAACCGGAGGGACTCCAACTTCTTATTTCAAATAGCACCTTGTATATTTTGTGCAATTCTTGATTTCAACTCAAAATTACTGTTCCAACGTTTCAAATTATAAGAATTGTGGTAGATCATGTAATTTTGAAATTTTCATCTTTTGAAAAGGCTGAGACAATCTAGTGGAACAGGTATACTGGGACACCTGGTATGAAACGTATGCAGGACAAACTACTCATAATGGGTTACATTATTCAAAACTACAATCATAATGCCAAGATTAATAATTTTTAAATGGTTAAATACGTTCCGAATTAAGGAGAACTATTTTTTAATAGCTTCATCTATTTTTATGATTTGAGAATTCAGAACTGAATCAGCCGTTACTTGAACGAAATACGTAGTTGTATGTGGAAAAGAAAGATATTTCAACATATTTGATACTAACTCGACATGTTTTGCTAAACAGTAGCTTCTTTAAATACCTACTCGTACAATGGATGAATCACACGATAGGTATTCCACTCTACTCACAAAAATGATTTCCAAATGCTAGAATCATCAGTTACGCTCAACTACTTTTGCCGTCTCAGGAGGATTAAGTTGAATTGGTGAAACGTGAAAGAAGATTGAATGATAATTGTTCTGAAGCATTTAATCTTTGATCTTCGCACCTGTAAGTAGCAAACTCCAGTAAGATTGGTCCTTTTTCACTTTTGACATACTCCACGGCAAACTTAGTGGCTTCCCTTGTCGCGAAAACATCCATACCATCCAATCTGATCCCAGGTATCAGGTCGCCTCTCTTATACAACTCCGTATTCGCCGCATGTCGGACCGAAGGTGTTCCCATACTATAATTGTTATTTTCTAGGATATAAATCACAGGTAAGTTGTGCAATTTTGCGAAATTGAAAGCCTCGTGGGTTTGTCCTTGATCCATAGCTCCATCTCCGAAAACTGTGAAGCAAATTCCGCCATCGTTTTTGTATTTGTGTGCTAGGGCCAATCCGGTCCCTAGAGGGATATGAGCTCCTACTATTCCATTTCCACCATACAAATTGTCCCCGTACAGATGCATTGAACCGCCTTTGCCTCTAGATGAACCTTCAATCGAGAAAATATGTTGTAGGGAAAGAACTACTTCTTAGAGGAAAGAATAGAGACGTGGAAAGTTATATGTATTGAATAATGGTGAAATTATGCACGACTAGCTGGAGAATGAGAGGCGGCGATTGGTGAATTCAATTGATAACTGAAATCAATCAACCATCATTCCTCATTCCTCATTCTTGAGTTGAGACTGAGTAGACTTGTGCATGAATGGGAAATACCACTAAGGAAAGGAATCCGTGCAAACCTCTTTCAATCGACGAATCATGATTCACGTTTGATGTACAATCAATATTATGAGTTCAAGTTGAAGGGAATCGAATCTATATGGTTTTGAAATCAGCATATTTCATTCGATATTTCGAACAGCCAAATATGATGGTGGATCCGTGACGTATTAGTCCCGAGGTGTAGCTATCTCTCTCTGATACCTCGTCATTCTGCAGTGTTGCAGTGTGATTGGTCAGTTCAAGGACAATAGGCGTGTTGGGACTGAGACGTCGCACCAGTCACACCAATGAATTGACACAATCTCAAATGGCACAGGAATTGTGTGTTTTGAAATGGACATATTCTAATTTATGTTTTTCATCTTCTTAGCATGAATTACAAAATTCGAAATTAATTCACTGGTAGTTTTTCAGTATAGAGTTCACGATAATGTCGTTTTAAAAAATCAGTGGTCTCCCCCATTCAGCATAAGTATGGATGTTCAAACGCGAGATGATTTTTAATCTGTTTTTTGATTGAGTAGGATAATATTCTCTAGTAGGGATTCATATTCTTCGATTATGATTTCATTTTGTGAAGTCATGATTGATTTGTGATTGATATTTTCTTTCATAGAGTTGATAGACTTCACACTTTTGATAAGTGGAATATGATGAAACAAATAACGAAACGTCTATTACTATGAATGTCAATGTTTATATCAATGATGAATAAAAAATTAGTGATTGTTCAGGGATATTATTCCTCATCATAACACTTGTGAAGTAAATGAATTTCATTTTACCACTAGTGGATGAATAATTCACAAGTGTGAATAGAACATAAATCCTTGTAACTCATGGCTCAGACACAGCGTTTGACAACTTCTTCTGGCCAGTACTGATGTCATAACCTCTATTCAGTATTGCCAGTATAGAGGGCACAAATTCATCCTGATTCGCACATTTATACCGAGGTTTGAATCAAATATTAGAACGATATTGCTCCACTCCTATTATTTCAGATAACCTCAAACTCTGATGATACTTACCACTTCCAGTTTCTATCATGAAATGTCACAATTCATCATAATCATTGTTTATATCGGTAACATTCGAGAGCAAAGAACAATTCAAAATATTCATACTAACTATGAATTTGAATAGAGACAGCAAAACTGTTCATCTTACTGAATTTTCAACAATGAACCATGTCTATATAATCCTCATACAACTTAGACAACCCTTGAAATGAAATCTGTGAGATTTTTTTCATGTTTTTTCCTGATACCTAACAGACAGGAAAGTTGTACTTGCTCTGCCTAGGAAGGAAAACTTAGTTGCTTTGCAACGTTTCAAGAAATTTGAATTAAATCGATAATCAAAATTGACACTGACATTGGGTGAACACAAAATGATAAAGTTTCTGATTGGAAATATCTCACAAAATTGATGTTATTTGACATTTTTGACATTTGCAGAGAAAATTTTATGATTCACCTTGCAGAAAATTGGCTGAAATCCTATCCTTGCTTCGCTCGCCTACACCGAGAAAAGGTTAGTTATACATGTCTCTATTTAAAAACTTCTCATAACCGCCAAATGAAACATTTAAACCACGAAATGTCATGTCATCTGATGAACGTGAAAAGTTCACGTTTTCAACGTGAAACAGGTCACCCTTTCAAATTACTCTTTTTGTTTCAAAAAGGGTATCTTTTAGTTTCGAAATGGGACAAGATTATAGTTAAAAGATGGAAATTTGAAGATAATCATTTAAATCCTAAAAGATGTCATTTCACAGTTATACAATTATCATTTTATTTCATCCCTTCTAATATTTTTTATCTTTGTCATACTCGTTCACCTCAATGAGTCATCTCACTCACTTGCTCGATGAGAATTGTTAGTCGTCTCCGGATTCTTGATATGAAAGGACATATAAGCTCGCGGCAGCTCGTTAACTCTTCTTGCAGAGTGATATTTTTTTTCGAAAAAGTGAAGTGGTTGAGAGATCTTCTAGAAATATTAGGGACATATTTGTTCATATATCCCCAAGATTTGTTGAGTAACTCGAGAATGTTGAACTGCCTCTGGGCGTTATAGTGTTTTCACGATATATTGGTAAGTGTATATGTATCGGAATGTCTTCCAAATTGGAAAAACTTTCATTTTTCAACTCACCTCACTATTCACTAAGTAGCAAAAGTTTGGATTTGAACAGTTTTATCGGTGATAGATTGTATTGCGTATACATTGTGTCCAAGATTAATGATTACTATCATGGGGATCTCGAGAACGTCGTGAGAAAAGTCTCTCAACGCTCTTTTGTAAAGCTCAAGTGGCAATAACGGTAAATAAAATAAAATGAAATTAGCGAATGTGAACTCTAATTTACTGACGATACTGTGTAATTACATTTTTGGCCACTATATGTCAACTAATAATCCAATGCACTGACAATGAGAACAAGTAGTCCAAATTGGAAGCATTTTTGTCTTACACAAACTGAGATATTTCAAACTGAGTATATCGTCCTTGTGATGCACTTGAATGTCCTGTAGTTCCTCAAAAAAACTTCACTTGGGGGTAAGTATAGCATTGAGATGCTAGTCATTTGACCCCTATATGAGTGTCATTTCATTCTCATATAAGTGATATTTCACAGTTATATGATTTTTTTGAAATGATGAACGTGATTACAGTGAATTGGGAACAATGCTGGCGCCTATTCAATTCAGAAATCTTTTAATGGTTATACAATTTCGTATAACAGCTAATAGATATTTCTCTCGGTGTATGAACTATGAGCGGCGGTCAATCTACTTCTTTCCTGCCTAGTAGAACAAATAACTATTTTCCAGCATCATTATACCACTTACTGGAATACTAACTTCCACCAAATTTTTCATGATCTGAGGTTATAGAGGTGATTTAGGATCGATGAAACCGACTGTTTGGAAAATTGAAGAAACTAGTTGAAAAATGATACAAAAATGTTGGTTGTGTCTTTGCTTATCGTGTTGAACATGAAGGAATTTCTCTACAAATGAGTGATCTTGTCAATTATTGAAAATTAATATACATTACCCGTGACTTTGCCAAGAAGTTCCCCATAAATACTCTCCAACTCAACACCCATCAAGTATGCCCAGGCGTGACACCTATACGTTGTGATCACATTATCACCAGGCCTCATAATCGTATTCACTCCGACGGCACATGCTTCCTGACCAGCGTACAGATGACAGAAGCCAAGTATCAACTTACGCTGGTACAACTGAGCTGCAGCATTCTCCATCCTCCTTATCATCACCATCTTGGTGAAGATGTCTATGGCATCTTCTTTGGTCACTTCGACGAGGACTGGAGGAGAGTCTATTCTGTGCAGATCATAGGGATGATTTTCGAATTTGGCCAGGGAACTTTGAGAGGCTGTGATGGTAACTAGAGTCTTTGGATGCCTGAACAAGTATCGCCTACAGCGTGTGATGACGTTCATGATGTTGAACAACAAGCTTCAAGCTGCCTGTATTCACCAATGATCATCACCGGAATGTCGATCATTACATTTAGTAAAAATCATCTGACAGATGTCATTTCCAAATAAGGTGAGTGTGACATACTTATGCACTGATGACCATTGGTATTCAAAAATATGAGTTATAAGAGTTAGTAAAGATATATGGTCCTACATGCGGTTATTTTGCACTCATCATGCGGAAAATTGTATTCTTGACTCACGTATTTTTGTCTCGAGATCACGAATTTGTTGATGAAAATGTGAAGAAACCACTCTTCATCGAGATATTTTAAGAACAAGATCGAAATTTCAGCTTCCTTTTTTCTTTGCATTTGGATATGCATTCACTGACTTACAGCTGATTGCTCTTTTTATTTTGTCATTGGACACACTCTATATACTTGTATTGTTTTTTTTATGTTCTGGTTCCCTACGACAATGAAAAAAGACGAAAAAAAAACATGTCAGGCAAAATATTCAAACAATGAAAGTAAAAAGTTGTCTAGCCAGATCTGGAAAAAACAAACGTTTAAAAATTACATATCATTATTCCGAAGAATTACATAATATCTAACATATTATCGATCTTTATATATATATATATCAATCTGGAAGGTTCTGCAGGTTTGAATGAATGTTCATCAAGTCAAACTATTTATATCCCTGCCAACGCACTGCTTCTGCAAATTCACGGAAACACTCAACAAAATTAGGTAGGAAATTTGCTTGAAAAAATACTTCTAGACTAAGGAGTTCGGTCACGAGAGCCAAAATGAAGACATTAGTCTTGGTTGAAAAATACGTTCCAGCATTATATTCTGCTTATTTGGTATTTGAGTACCTATTACTTTTTCATTGTTTGATAACATGAGATTTCGGTATCATGATGATATGATATAGTAGGAATTTGTTATGAAACCTGTATTTTCTTATCTCTAGGAGAACACGAGAGGAAATTCCTATAATGCTCGTGAAACTTCGAGCCGTACCGACAAAGGATTGGAAGATGAGGTTGGTGTTGAAATTTTTTTTTAACATTCTGAGAATATAAATTCTTGAAAGTACTTCTATAGCTTCGCCGTTCTATAGACGAACGAGTTTTGGTAGAGTCTTGTTCGAAATGTTCAAAGTTTTGTTCGCCTGGTATTGCTAGTGCAAGTATCTATAGAAAAGTGGAAGGTCGCCGACTTTTCTACGACGTTCTAATGTGGTCAAGGAGTTGGTGAATTTGGCAAATGGCCCTTCTCTGGATGAAATCTGAGAGCATCAGCGTATGTTCGCATGTTGAACCCCATACATGGGAACAGTATTCCTGAACTGACCGTATCTGGGCTTTGTCGATTATGAGAAGCTGTTGAGGTGTGGAGAAGTTTTTGCACCCGAAACTAGAATCCGTGTTTTTGTGAAGCAGCTACTGCGATGGAATATAATTTTTTTCACTGGAATGGTATAGTACCCATAAGCATGATATTATAGTAGATTTTGTCAGTCCCTGTAAGAGAATTCTACTCTGATCTGAAATAAATTCTCGCACTATCCATATAATAATATGCATCTTTTACCTATCCAAATTAGTAATTCATAGTGCTAAAATTTTGTAGCAATGAAAACTATGAAAAATGTATATAATGAATTGAGAAGGAATATTCTCAGATATATTTATGATCACGAAAAAATTGATGTATAGGTATACCGGGTGACACAGCAGCCTGTAGTTTTTTTAATTGAAAAGATAAAATTTTGAAATTCACAGGGGCTATATAATAAATGGTAGCGCACTTTACGAACTTAACGACACTTTTTTTCAACCACCTGTTTGACCGGAAGTGACCCCAACTTTTTTTTTCAAATGTCACCCTGTACATTTCTTCAGTCTATCTTTTTCGCCTTGAAATTCTCTATCCAAACATGTATCACAAAGTGGCATTCATTTCTTAATTCGCTGTTGAATTGCTTTTTATTCAAAAAGAATAAGTTTAATTCGATGATATATCGACACTTGGTAGGCTTTGAAATTCAAATATCATTAGTAAACCGATATTATTCAAAATGTTTTGATATTCTGATCAATGTCTGCAGGTTGTCAATAGCTTGTTTGAGTCAAGATGAAATCCTTCGAAAATAACTCATGATATTGAGGAATCTAAGATAGGAACATATTTTTTCGAATTCAGCTACTCGAAACTATCTGTCTTTTATTTTCGCCATGTACCTATCACATGATCTTCAAATTTGGAATAATAAAACTAAAATTGTTCCTCTTATACGATGATCCACAGGGCTATCAGTCTATTTTTTCATAATTATTTCACTTAGTAGGCGGTGTACCTACACAAAATGTTTTATGTGTTTGACAGTTAATCGATTGCATCAATATTTTTCTTCCCCATTTGTGTGTTGATTAAAATTGCATTTCAACAACATATCGTCTTTTTCGTTTCTTGAATACATTTTCCGTCTCTATTGATAATATCTTCTGGAGTAGAGAATTTGCATTCTAATTCATATAGAGATATGCACATGATATTATTCTGAATATTTGATAGAAAACAACCACTTTCCTGGCTATTTGCCGTGTCGAACTTTGAATTATATCTGTAGATTATCCAAAAAGAGAGCATGAAAAATCGGAATCCTCTGAAATAGAGAATTAACATTATCTCTCGAATCGAATGAGATAATATGATGTACTATGATATAAAAACATAACCTATTATACCTACAAATATGTTCAGTATTGAAATGAAAATCGAAATGTATAGGAGAAGTATACTTGTATGAACTCTGACCTTGATGAGCTTGGAACTTCCGAAAAAAATAATCATTCGTCAGTGATATGGGAATTATATATCTCTCACAAACAGGTTATATATGTTTTCACTCGGGTAAAACTCATTTCGGAAATCAGATCTTCATCAGTAACCTGAAGTACAGTTATTATTTTAGCCATTCTTCATGAACTAAAACTATAACGAACTGAAATTGGGATCTGAGAATCAGAATTTGTAACATAAGCACTGTCATCTGAGCATTGAAGTATACAGGCTGATTCACGGTGGATGGCACATTAGACGTTTCTGGTGAACCAGACAACGGATCATTTCGAAAATTTAATGGAGGGCATATTCGGACATTGTCTAGCCAACTAAAATATTTTCGACAATGCGGTGTTGCCGCTCCTATTAGAAAGCAGTAGCAACTTTGATTTTTCAAATGGAACACTCTGTATTTTATTGTATTTTTAGATTCTCCCAGAAGAGCTGATTCCATCGATGTATCACACTTGGGGTCTAGCGGAAATGATTACAGAGATATAGGGTGTGAAAAATCGACATTTTTCAACTTTAGGATTTTTTTGTGTCGAAGCTATTCATCATTGGTCAAAACGGCTTACATGTCCCTATCTCAACTTTTGATTAACTATCTACTGATATTTAATCGGGACATATACCGGGTGATCAAGATTCTGAATTCTGCACCACCCTGTATTTGTTTCAATTAAATGTTAGTAGATAATTGATCAAAAGTTGAGATAGGGACATGTGAGCCGTTTTGACCAATAATTATTAGTTTGGACAAAAAAAATTCCTAAAGTTGAAAAATGTCGATTTTTCACACCCTATATCTCTGTAATCATTTCCGCTAGACCCCAAGTGTGATGCATCGATGAAATCTGCTCTTCAGGGAGAATCTAAAAATGCAATAAAATACAGAGTGTTCCATTTGAAAAATCAAAGTTGCTACTGCTTTCTAATAGAAGCGGCAACACCGCATTGTCGAAAATATTTTAGTTGGCTAGAGAATGTCCGAATATGCCCTCCATTGAATTTTCAAAATGATCCGTTGTCTGGTTCACCAGAAACGTCTAATGTGCCATCCACCGTGAATCAGCCTGTATATCTCTCACAAACAGGTTATATGTTTTCACTCGAGTAAAACTCATTTCGGAAATCAGATCCTCATCAGTAACCTGAAGTCCAGTTATTCTTTTAGCCATTCTTCATGATATTCCCTATAATATAACTAAAATTATAACGAACTGAAATTGAAATCTGAGAATCAGAATTATAAGCACTGTCATCTGGGCATTGAAGTCTATAAAAATTACAAGTTTTCATCGTTCAAGTTTGAACCCCTTGATTAGGTGAAAGTATTGAAATCGAACTTTATACTATAAATTGTGCTTGGAGGTATAATCGACGCACTTCATAGTGAAGAGTTCAATAATTATTACAGTGTTTTTCACTGTTTTTTTTTTGTGTACGTGTGTAGCTTATCGCAAAATAAACGCTCAATTTTCATCTTGTTTTATTAATAGCTATTCTACCATTTCATTCACATAATTATTCAATGTTCCTGATATCATATTCCATCCAATTACGGATAGATAGAAGTTTCATTTTTGTAAAATCCATTTAGAGTCCGTGTTTCATCGCTGCACCATTTTCCGCATTATTTAGACGCAGTCCCAAAATTCAGGAACGATTCTATTTGTATACATTACATATCCCGCTCCACAAACATCCAATCGCCATTGTTATCGAACTACGGAACTAACACAATAGCATAAAAAACTTCAAAACGATGTATGCGTTTATATATTTGTCACGGTAGACTGATCATGGGAGATGGAATTTGGTCTGCATAAAGGTTGTTTTTGAGTATTATTGTTGTTGAATCTCTACTTTTATTGCTGAAAATACAATATTGATTGACTGGGATTTTATTTGTATTCTATCTACAACTCATATATATTGAAGATATCATTCCACACGAATTGAAATAGTTTATGGTTATGTAGCATCGCAATACACCGAGAAAAGTCCAGTTATACATATCTCTATTTTAAAATTTCTTATAACCGCCAAATGAAACATTTTAACCACGAAATGTCATCTGATGAACGTGAAAAGTTCACGTTTTCAACGTGAAACAGGTCACCCTTTCAAATCACTCTTTTTGTTTCAAAAAGGTTATCT